GACATCCTTTGTGCAAATTCACCAAGCCTCATTTAATAACTCAAAACACGTAATAATTAGTTTTTTTTTTTTGAACTTGAGGTCAAAATCTGAACATAACCTTAATTACCACAGAACATATATATTCCAAAAATCAGAAAGTCAGTCAGCATGAAGAAAATTAATGTCTCTAACTTTCTGACCACTTTACTGAAATTTAAAGCCTTGGGAATGAAGAATAGTGTCATATTCTTGATCCGATAATAAATGCGTGAAACAAATTTAAAAAAAAATCTTCCAATCATTTGCAGTGATTAATAAAATAATAAGGAATCCAAAAATAAATAAACAATTAATGGATGTGCACTAACCAATTTTAACTGTGATTAATTCTACGAAACAGAAAAAGCAGTCGTGAATTTTTTTTTTTTTAACAATAATTAGTTTCATTAATTTCAACAAAACTTTGATCTATAAATTATAATAAATAATAAATGATTAATAACTGAAAAACATTAATCTTTATAGGAAAATCAAGAATTCTATAACTTGTGCTCTGATACCACATGTAAGAAATTAAACCCTAATACCAAGATTTTTAGAATTCATGATTTTCACATATGAAATTTTAATTGATCAAGAAACATACCTTGATCCATGGCAATAATTGAGAATTTTAGATCTGCAAAATAATAAACTATTAAATTAAAGAAACCGTTCTCTCACTTTTTCTCTCTTTTATTGAATGAATTAATTGATGGGTTTCATTCACATTTATAGGCAGAGAGAGGCAGTCTCCTTTGTGCCATAAAATTCTCAACTTTCCATCAAAGTAGACAATTATAAAACTACCATTTCTCAATTGGGCCAATAGGATTTTAGTAATATTAATCACCTTTAATTAATTCTTTAATATTACATGGGCCACAAATAATTGGTTTTACAGTATCATCTCACGAGGAATAAAATTTAATTGAGTGTACTAGTCTTAATTAGATTCAAAGCGAACAAATTAAAAGTGATTTTTGTGAATTTTAATTTAATCTACGAAAATGTGTAAAATACGAATTTAAAATGTATATGGGAAGAGTGTATTGGATTACGAATCCACGTATTATTATCTATTCCGATTCTCGACTACGTAGCTAGTTTCACTCTTATATTCTTGACAATCAATAATTCTATTGTAATTAATTTTCCTTTCCATAACAAATTAAATCTATCCTATTCACGACTCAATCATATTCGTAGTCCAAATTCATATGAATAGAATGCATTGAATTTCACAATTATCTCAAAGATTACACACGTGATAAATTTTATTCCTAAAATCTATTGCACATATGTTATTCATGCAGTGTTATAAACCTATTGTGAACTTCCTAGTACTACAACAAGCAACCATATATTTAATTGGTGATCAATCAATCAAATAATGAAATTAAGCATGCAAGATTAATCAATAATTGCAAAAATTCAACTAACTCATGTAACTCAAATTAAAAATAAATAATAATGGGTTTCATCCTCATCCAATGCATGAGAAAATTAGACTAGCATAATGTTGGAATTAAACAAGTAAAAGAGGAATGACATCACCAATAAATCGACAGAACGTGATTAACTCCACGATTTTCCTCAACTTCTGTTCGTGGAATATAACATATATACTATGGCAGCCCCCAATTCATGTCTTCTAATTTTCCCTTCTTGAATCCATTTTCAATGTAGCTGAATTCCTCTTGATTTCTTAATTTCCAGTCGCCCTTCTGTAATTATATATCTCCGTCCAGTAGCTGCCAAGCGTGTGTATATATAATATATTTCCTTCAGTCAAGTAGGCTGCCAATGTTGACTCCTCTACCTTTTTGTTTCAACAGCCCACAAAACTTTGTGTTTTTGTGTATATATCTTACAAATTCAACCCTTCTTCTGCCGCCCAATTGTGGGTGTTGTATATATATAAAAATCTGCCAAAGTCACTCAATTGTATGTGTATCTATTCACTTCCAGCAACCTTCTTTCTTTTTTTCTTTTTTTTTCTTTTTTTTTTTCTCCTAGTTGGCGTTTTTTTCTCCCTCCGGCTTTTCTTTCTCCCTGAATATATATGGAAGGCAGCCGTCCAATTTCTCTCCTTTTCCCGCCGACCTCCTTCTCTTCAGCCTGTATATGAATATATATACATATATAGATATACTACAGCCGCAGCACCAGGAATGCCTATTCCCCTTAAATTCCAATTACCCACTATAAGTCAAAAAGGGCCCAATTAGATTGATATGTGCTTTGGGGTCCTTAATTCCTCCATGCAATGCAAATTAATCCTCGATACAATTTTATTTGTGTGGTCAATGTCCTTCCCAACTTCAACTTGTGAAATTTAATCCCAAATCATAAATTTTAATCGATTATGTCCTTCTTCCTTTCCACTTGCTTCAAACAGGTTCGTCACTAAAATCAAAATAAAATTAACCCAAGGTAAATAGAAATTAATAAATTGACGATATATAAACTTAATAATGCGGCCTAAATAAATGCACAAATTGCACTTATCATGGGAGAAGAAGAATTTTCTTCTTTTTTTTATTTTACTTTTTGAAATAATATAAAAGTATTATTTTACTCCCTATACATTGGTCAGAGGTTAAATTTTTGTAGATAGTCAACTAAAGGTCAAATGGATGGAAATAATCAATTTGGATTGGACTTGCAATATTTTAGAAAGTTCGATACCCTAGGGGACACAAATGAAAGGTTTAGATAATGCCTGCTACTAAATGAAAGGTTTGATACCTTGGCTGCAATTTTCCCTAATAAAAAAGACCTAACCAGTTCGGCCCACCCATTCAAAGCAAGACGAGAAAGGAGCATATTTAATAAGGAAGAACATCTCTAAAAAAAGTGGTGAAAAGGAACTCTAAGCCTCGTATAGATTGAATGTTTATTAATAGCTTACATTTTGGAGATGGACGATATGCCGTTTGAAACTATCCAAGACATAATAGCTCTATATCATTAGGAACGTCGAAATGGGTCCTAATATCGGCCAAGTCTTGTTCAAAGAGATTGCTAAAAATTTCTGAAACCTTAGAGGTTCTCCCGCCACTTTCATTAAGGTCAACTGGCACATTTGAGGGTCCGCCCCCTCATTACGATCTACAACTCTAGGTCGGGAGCTCCCTTCTTGAACAAAAAGTTTTGGATTAATGTATATATTAGAATGAGTAACAATCCTCAATAAGTTCGCAAATCATAACATAATACAATTAAAATCCTAAATTTAATATAAATAATAAAACTGAATTTTGGGGACTATTCGTAGAACCTTAAAACAAAATATGTGAACTTGGCCAGCTATTGGCGAAACATAAAGTAACACAAGAGGGGAATAAATACACAGAAGACTCGTGCAAACTTGGCCAGCCATTGGCGAAACATAAAGCAACACAAGAAGGGAATGAATACACAGAAGACTCGCCTAAATTTGACGAACTATTCCTTTCCCCAGGCTAAATACAAACTGTCAATAAAAGGCACGTAAGTCAATGAATCTAGCATAACTCTTAACCGAATCAGTTATAAATCTACACTTAAATCTGAATTTTTATATATTCTTATATGTTGTTAAATCATTTCATAAAGGACTTGCTTAGGCAGAACTATATCTTTTTAAAGTAATATAGTATCGTAGTATATCTTGAACTAAAATAAAACTCGATTCTCCATCTCATACTATTCATACACGTCATTATCCTTCACTAATTAGTCTTACGTACCTAGTTAAGATTATGCTTTAGTTCAATGATATAACATTGTATACTTTTAGACGAGATAATTTCACATGACCTCGTCCCAATCGTCCCCCCACCGTAAAATTGATTTTCGACGGAATGAATTTCTATTGAGGTCTATCCTGTAGAGGTACTCAAATTGGATCAGTGATTAATTTCTAAGTTTCGTCGTAAACCTAATCTAAATAGATCAATATTCTAAGTTCAGATTTCTAAACATAGAATGATTGTATACGGAACTATATCTTTTTAAAGTACTATTGTATCATAGTTATCTTGAACTAAAATAAAGCTCGATTCTCTATCTCATACTGCTTATACACATCACGAGTTTAACCAATTAACAAATGCCCACACATTCTATTAATGCTACTCCAGTCTACGAGTCTTTGATATTACTCACTGGTCTAGTCTTCTTTTACATATTCTAATGTAATGCCCCATTATAGAATTTGGTATCAAGAAGCTTCTTAATGCATATACTTTAATTAGTATCCCATCATTAGCATTTAGAACTTAATTATATTTAAAACTTTCACAATCTCAAGATTAAGTATATACCAACAGATGTTACATGATAATTGAAGCATAAGTCATTTTCCAAGAGACGCACCTACCCTCCACTAATTAGTCTTACGTACTTAGTTAAGATTATGCTTTAGTTCAATGATACAACATTATTATACTTTTAGACGAGATAATTTCACATGATATCTAAATAGATCAATATTCTAAGTTCAAATTTAGTCACCACACTCTGATGGGCTTGTAATGAAAATTGAATTCGATCTTCAAGATATGGCACATATTGAAGTTATTAGACGAGATAATTCAAAATACAATTTAATGTTCTAACAACTTGAAACTATTAGACGAGATAATTCAAAATACTATTAAGGTTCTATTTTAGTGCTTCATTTAGGGAATTTAGTTAAGCAACTTTAACCTCTGTGCTTCTCATATGGTGACAAAGATTTGGAAGCAACACTTGTCTAAGATTTATTGTTTAATAAGAATAAAACTGATACAGCAGTATATATATTGACACTTGGCAGATATTCTTCAGTGGAAAATATTGATTTGGTAATAAAGAACAAAGTCTGTTTGGTTAGTGTTAACGAGATCAGCATAATAGTTGAATAAAACAGTGAAATGACAATTTTATAAGATATATATATAAGAGACGAGTTCGTGTGTAATTTCATACAGAAACTGTAGACAACAGAAACAGTAAAAATCAAGTTTGTGGTATATTTAAGGTTTTGATCAATGTCAGGTAGGGGTGTTTCCGAACAGTGCTGGACAAAAGGGCCTTGGACACCTGAGGAAGATAAGCTCCTAACTCAATGTGTAAGCCAATATGGTGACGGAAGATGGAGCTTTGTTGCCAGGTCCTCAGGTACAAATCAATGTCACTTATTCTCGGAGTGCTAGATATAATAGAGTCGAATCTGGTTAAAGTAAATAGACACGTGACAAAATTTCACTAGTACATCTTATCGAACACGGTTTAGTCTTGGCTAACGTATCTGTTGAAGTAGAGGACATGTTTCATATGCAATATTGGAGTAACTGGCTCAACAAAATGATAGCTCAGTCTTTTTTTTTTTTTTTTCTAATTATATATGTCTGTTAATCACCGTCGAGTTTATCCTACTAAACAAACAATATTGTTTCTAATCTCCTCTCTGAATATTTAATCATCAGGGTTGAATAGGAATGGAAAGAGCTGCAGATTAAGGTGGGTGAATTATTTGAGGCCCGGTCTCAAAAGAGGCCATATAACGCCTCAGGAGGAAGGAATTATCATTGAACTGCATGCCCTCTGGGGGAACAAGTATTGTCCCTCTCTCTCTCTCTCTCTCTCTCTCTCTCTCTCTCTCTCTCTCTCTCTCTGTGTGTATACACAATATACACACAACTTTCTCTCTGTCTCCCTCTTTACTCATCTGGTATTTAATGTTTGACATAGATGGTCCACCATAGCTAGGTACCTGCCCGGAAGAACAGACAATGAGATAAAAAATTACTGGAGAACCCATTTCAAGAAAACAGGCAAGCCTTTCAAAAGCAAGAAAAGAAGGAAAAACTTAGCCAAAAGCAACATATTCTGGAAGAAGGAAATGGTGGAAATAAAGACTCTCCTATGCAAGCAAATCCCACTTGTGATGACAATATATCTGATCCACAAAGCAAGCAAGAAACAGTAATTACCTACCCAACTGTGGATAACCTGTTCTTGCCAATCATGTATCAAGACATTACATCATGTTCAGATATTATTGTTCTTGATGATTATCTTTGGGGAGGCTTGTGGAATTTGGATATATGAAAAATCATTTTGGGATGATAGTTATGAATTATGATCGTTATCCTAACGTTTTTTAGGGAACAATATATGTGATGAGAAGAATGAATTTCTGAAAGTAACTGAAAGTTCGAGTTCTATTTTGTCCTCCTGTATTAATTAATTGTACAGAATTAATATTATTTGAGAGTTCAACGGAACGGTTCTAGCTGTCGATTAACAACCAACTGCAATAAAAATATCACAAATAAAGAATATTCAGCGAACCCGTAGATAAACCTCTAAAATAAACATCCACGAGTCATTATAGAAGAATGATTTAATCGTCTCACATTTTTAGGTGCTATAATGATTTGTAGAATGCAATTAAGAATCCTACCGTAAAACCAACAAAAAAAAAAAAAAAAAAAAAAAAAAAAAAAATATCCGTGGCAAACATCAAAAGAAACTAAAACTTCTCTCGTGTTAGTCCTTTTTTTTCTTTTTTTTTGATAACTTAGGTGTCCAAGTTTCGCCTGACTCATCCTGAGGAATGGCGACCCTCTCCCTTGGTTCTCCACCTAAGTAAATTCGAATGCGGTCACAACTTATACACACTTGGACCGGATATTCAGGATGCAGTTCTCCTCCCTGTAGACCTCAAATGGGGGACAAAGCACACCATAACTTTGCCTCCACAAGACAACTGTCTTCCAACATAAATGTTGCCTTCCAGCTACTGCGGGGATTGGAACCTCCGATGCTCCATATAAAACTTTCCTACTTTACCACTGTATGCAACCTTGATTTTCACAACTCGCGTGAATGAACCCGAATTTCTCTACAAGTCGAAACAAGAACTCTGTTCTTATTTTTCAGGCCAAGATGCAACTTTTATTAATGAATTCATTCAAGCAGCGGTTTTAAATTTCTTTATTTTGTTACTTAATAAATACATAACTACATGTAAATATAAAATTTGAACGTGTAAATATTATAAACATTAGTACCGAAACTATTACGTGTATACTTTGAATGTATCTAATATAGTTTCTTGATAAATTTTGGAACAATGTATGTAACACCCGTTATAAAAGCAGATGGATATTTGATATATAGCTTCTAAACAACTAAACTTAAAACAATGATAAAATCATAGAAAAAAAAAAAGTTCCGCTTTATTGATTCCTCATAGCAATTACTTAGATTTATGAATATAGCATGAAAATGTTAGAAAAATGAAATGACCAAAATCTATTACGTATATCCTACCATTCTACCAGAATTATCTCCCAAGATCATCTCCATGTTAGGTGTAACCGAGATTTCCCTCATTGTAATTGTGAAATGCCTTATTTAGACTTTATTATTTCTGTACACATATGCATTGTATCCACAATTACCAATTAATGAAAAGTTTACACTCATTCAGCACCTTAACATGGTATCAGAGCCCAGTAAGCTCCAACGAACTATTCGATTCGATTAAGTCTAAAAAATGAGTACACGAATTTCAAGATTGATTTGCTCAAAAAGAGTCACCACCTTGCGGGGACATGTTAAGGGAATAAATCTCACATCGGTTAAATATCAAAATATTGACTAACTTAAATAAATTTTAAACTATTCCTCTTAATAAGGTTGATCTTATTAAAATGGACCCAAAATCTTAACAAAATCTGTAAATTGTTTTAACATTACCATTCACATGAATTTTCATCAATATTGGAAGTATGTGGTTCCCATAAACGGGAGACATTGGAAGTTGGAACTCAAATCATTATTTCAGTTAATTAAAATATTAAGTTTGAAAGCACCGCTAAGAATGGTAACTTACTTTGTGATAATTGTGTTCAATAGATTGTCTTAGAAAAATTCTCATAGCCAAAAGTACATTGTTGCATGATAATTTATAAATTATTCATAAAAGTAAACTTATGAATTACTTGATATGTGTCATGCAACTGAAGTCTAACACAAATGATGTGAAATCATAAAAAACCAAATTCAATTTTGAAATTACAACTTGTAATTATTATTATTATTTGTGCGATTGTAGACCTGTTCCAAAATAGTTACAATTTTAGCCATAATTATATATACGGAATTTAAAAATCGTCACATTATCCTGTAAACGCACTTAATTGTTTTCATGAATTCTTTTATTTAAAAAAATGATTATTCAGGATTCTATCACGAATATATTGACATTTTCTTCAAATTCTTTTTTTATATAACTTTAAATCAACTATCAAATATATAATAGGATTAAAGTGGTTTACAAAAGTACTTGATCCATACAAGTCAGAATAAAACTACTCTTGGGCGAGATCATTCAAATATCACCTGTCTAGGATGACGAGTGGCCTACATAATTCATTGTCAAATCGCATTGAACAATGAATCAGAAGGTTCGCTACCACTTAAAGACGCCATCCAACGATCATAATAAAAGTAATTAGTAATGCAATTCATATATCGAGGTTCCACAAGCCTCCCCATAGATATTCATCAACAGCAATAATATCTGAACGGGATGTAATATCTTGATACATCATAGGCAGGAACTGGTTATCCACTGTTGGATATGGGATTACTGATTCTTGCTTATTGCTTTGTGGATTGAATATATTTACATCACCCATGGGATCTGCTTGAATGGAGTTCCCACCATTTTGTTCTTTTTGGCTAAAATTTTTCTTCTTTTCTTGCTTTTCAGAAGGCTTGCCTCTTGTCCTGAAATGGGTTCTCCAGTAGTTTTTTATGTCATTGTCAGTTCTTCCCGGAAGATACCGGGCTATGGTGGACCATCTGCGTTTAACATTCCAGAAAAAAAAAATGTGAGAGAGAGAGCAAGAGAGAAGTGTGTGTGTGTGTGTGTGTGTGTGTGTAGAGAGAGAGAGTACTTGTTCCCCCAAAGGGCATGGAGTTCAATGATAATTCCTTCCTCCTGTGGTGTTATACGGCCTCTTTTGAGCCCAGGCCTCAAATAGTTCACCCACCTTAGCCTGCAGCTTTTTCCACTCCTATTCAACCCTGTGTCAAAAAATTTCAAATTATAGATTAAAACAAATAATTTATTTTTTTGTAGGGTGGACACTACATAAGAGTTTTAAAGAAGAAAAAAGAAGATATCTCCTATGTTATTTCATCGAGTCTGGTCGACCATGTTCATATTGAAGTGCATTTGAGATGTTGGATTACACTTTTTCGTTTAATCAGTCTTTGCCGTTCAATCCAAAATAATGAGTCGATATTAGTGACACTAATTCCTACCTGAAGACCTGGAAACAGAACTCCATCTTCCCTCGCCATACTGGCTTACATACTTAGTAAGAAGCTTATCTTCCTCAGGTGTCCATGGCCCTTTTTTCCAGCCTTGTTCAGAAACACCCCAACCTGCCATTGATCAAAAACCTTAAATATCCCACAAACTTAATTTTACTGTTTCTGCTGTCTACAGTTTGTACGTCAGAAATTAGACACAAACTCTCCTCTTATATCTTACTTAGATGTCATTTTAACTGTCTTTTTCAAGCCATTAAGCTGATCTCATTTAACACTATATATATACATTGTTCTTTATTGCCAAATCAATCTTTTCCACTACAGAGTATCTGCCAAGTGTCGTTACATTACTTTTGTGTTTTACTCTTAACCAATAAACCTTAAACAAGTGTTTCTTCCAAATCTTTGTCACCGTACTGATAAGCACATTGAGATTGAAGTTCCTGAATTGAATTCCCTTGCAGTAAGTACTAAAATTTATGTTTGGACAGTCATGCGCTAAATCATTTCGTCTAAAAACTTTATCCTTCTTTTGAGGTTAGATTTTTCTTTAATCAAAGATTTTATAATTTTATAAATTTTACAAATAAGCAACAACGAAACTTGATCTTAAAATCTTTGAATGTTGATCAGATACAATGTTGGACTCGTGTAAAGATTAAGAGGGTGTTTGGTAGGAATTAAAATTAGATTTTTAGTAGATTTTGATAGAAGTTTTTGAGATGTTTGGTTGAAAAGTTGTGAAACCCATAAAAGATGTGAATAATATTGATTGTTTGATTTTAACTTAGATAAAAATCAAATTTTAATTCAAATCAAACTTGGGCTAAACAGTATTGGATGATTCTTTTTTCTTTTGTTAAATCACATTATCACAGAGACAGATTTAGGGGGGTTGGGCTGGACTGTAGTACCACCACCCCCAGGTCCAAAGCTATTTTTCATTTTTTTTTTAAACTAATTTTTTATGTGTAAAAAAAATTTTTCCCACGTAGCAGTCCGATTTGAAATTTTATAGCCCGATCTTGGATCCAAATCTGGATCCGTCCCTACAATATCATATGATTCAACTAAAGCATAATCTTAACTAAACCAGAAAACTAATTAGTGGGTGGTTGGTGTGTCTCTTGGAAAATGGCATAAGCTCCAATTAACACCTAACATATGTTGGCATATACTAAATCTCAAGATTTATTCGAGTTTTAGATATAATTAAGTGTTAATGATGGGATATTATTTAAAGTTGCATTAAGAAGGTTCTTGATGCCAATTCCAATGATGGGGCATTATAATATGTAAAGGAAGATCAGTCTAGAGAGTCATCTCTAGGACTCGTGGACTGGAATAGCATTAATAGAATGTTTGGGCATTTGTTCATTGGCTAAACTCAATAATTTATTTAAATAATGCCATATATAGGTAATGACGTGTATCATCCTAGCAATTGAATATTAATATGTAAAGCTTTTCAACAAGCCCGCATGAGATCTTGAATTGATCTTTTTATGGGTTATTAAGATATTCTTGATTTTGTAGTGCTTAAAAATAGTTTTCTGTTGATGTTCCTTGATCCACGTTTAAATTTTGTCACCGCACATTACAAATTGTGCATGTCTACAATTCATTTAGTTGAAAACGAAATAGAGGCGAAAGTTAATTCATGTATAACTTAATGTAAAACTTATAAGTTATTCCAAAGAATACAACTAAATTCGTGTATCTAACAATTATTAAAAATTGGGGAATGCCCCTTGTCCAGGGCCACATTGGCCCTGGATGTCCAGGACGTCATTTGGTGCCCCCATATATTCATGTACGAGCTTAGTACACGAATCGTTTGCTAAATATACATACTACATTTTTATTGTTACACCCTATTTTAATTTTATTTGAGGTCATCAACCTTTGCTTATTATAATCCTTTAATTTTTATTTTTATTTTTTTTTTGCGCATTTTTATCTTCAACAGTTTACTAATTAGCACATCTCATATCATATAATGGTTTCTGCGAAGCAAGTCCGTTCGGAGGCGTAAAATAAATTATTATCCAATCATATTTTTTATTAAAAAAAAAGAATAAATACAGAAGTTTGACAAATATTCCCTCATTTTAAAGCAACAAAAAAAAAATAACTGAAACCTGATTCAAAGACAAAATTTGCTAAATAATAGAGTGTTGAAGATAAGAATTCGATGTAAAAGAAGTATGGACAAAAGTTTTACAATGAATGAAGGTAGAGGACCTTAAGTGAAATTAAAATATAACGCTACTAATAGAAATAGTGGTGTCAATATAATTACCCTTTAATGATTTAAAGGATAAGTACATTATGACTGCAATGCTTGAATATCTTATAGGGTATCTGAATACATGAATATAAGATGCATTAATTTAATTTATTTTTCAACAAACTAGATTAAATGGATGTATAGGTAGGCGGGAGTAATTTTAAGTTTGGGCAAGTTAAGTAGTCATTTTTTCACTTTAAGTAAAAAACTTTGTCAATCATCAAAATGGCCTTTTATTGAGTAAAAGACAAAAATATCCTTAAATAGTTTATACAATTACAAAGATAGAATTTTGTTTCAAAAGACAAAAATGCCCTTAAGTTACAAAATAAAAAATCAAACACTTTTCACTTTATATTTAATTATTTATTTTAAACAATTACTCAAATTAAAAAAATTAATATTTAATTTACTTTCTTGTTTAAATATTTCATTAATTAATTATCTTAATCGGTTATGTATATTATTTATTTAATATTAACTTCTTTATTTAATTATTTATTTAATCACTTGCTTAAAAATCAAATTAATATTTAATTTGATTTCTCATTTAAATATTTTATTAATTTATTATCTTAATTGATTATGTAATATTTAATTTGGTTTCTCTTTTAAATATTTCACTAATTAATTATCTTAATTGGCCCTTATTTAATTATTTATTTTAAACACCTACTCAAATAAAAAAATTAATATTTAATTTGGTTTCTCGTTTAAATATTTCTCTATTAATTATCTTAATTAGTTATATATATTTTTTATTTAATATTTAATTACTTTATTCAAATAACACTTAATTAAATAAAAAATTAATATTTAATTTAATTTCTTATTTAGATATTTCATTAATTAATTATTTTAATTGGTTATGTATATTATGTATTTAAAATTTAATTACTTTATTTAATTATTTATTTAATCACTTATTTAAATAAAAGAATTAGTATTTATTTTAATTTCTTATTTAAATATTTCATTAATTAATTACCTTAGTTAATTATTTATATTCTTTATTTAATATTTAATTACTTTGTTTATTTATTTATTTAATCGCTCAATTAAATAAAAAATTTATATTTAATTTAATTTCTTATCTAGATATTTCATTTATAAATTATATTAATTAATTGTGTATATTATGTATTTAATATTCCATTACCTTATTTAATAATTATTTTAATCACTTATTTGAATAAAAAAATAATTTTTAAATATTAACTAATTATTTAAATATTTCAGTAATTAATTATCTTAATTGGTTATGTATATTATTAGTCATTAATATTTAATTACATTATTTTAATTGCTTGTTTAGATAAAAACATTATACTATAATGTACAAATGACATAATAATATTGAAGAGTTGAAAAACAGTTTTTTCGATCCTTCACTCATAAAATTTCACATATACATTATGAACATTCTTATGAATTAGTATATGTCGAATTATCTAATATTGAATTTGATTTCTCGTTTAAATATTTCTTTATTAATTATTTTAATTGGTTATGTATATTTAATTACTTTATTCAATTATTTATTTTAAAACCTATTCAAATAAAAATTAATATTTAATTTAATTTTTTCTTTAAATATTTTATTAATTAATTATCTTAATTGGTTATGTACATTGTTTATTTAATATTTCTTTACTTTAATTAATTATTTATTTAATCACTTATTCGAATACAAAATTAATACTAAATTTAATTTATTCTTTAAATATCCCATTAATTAATTATCTTAATTGGTTACGTATATTATTTATTTAATATTTAACTAGAATATAATTCACATGATGTATGAGAATATCTAACAGAGATGAAAGTCAAACATTAGGCATGGTCACATTTTCAAGACATCAAACATTATTCAAGAATGTTGAAAATATATTTCTTCTACCAAAGGAAGTTCTCAATTATAGTATATTACTTTCTACCCAACGGATGTGTAATATCTATTTAAATCGTATGAACTCTCTATTTATAGTATATTATTGGTTTCCTCAATTTTCTCTATTTATAGTATGTTATTTATTACATGAAAATTGAGCCGACGAATATGTAATATCTATTTAAATCGTATGTACTCTCTATTTATAATATCTCACTGATTTCCTCAATTTTCTTTATTTATAGTGTGTTATATATGTAATTAAGAGTAATTAGTTATTTATTATACAATTACATAAAAACTAAAGTATTATAAGCGTTTTAAAAAAAATGCTTACATTTTAAATTATTACAATTACAGATCACAATGTACATAAAAAAAGCTACCATTTTAATGTGTGTTTGGTTTATCAGCTCTACGTCACGTCTGATACTAAAAATTCATTATACTTCAATTTGATCCGAATCCGACGAAATTAATGGGAGATAGATTTAGAGTCTTAATCTGATAACCCAATCGAGATTCGAATCCGATAATCTGTTAACTAAATGAATCAAATATGGATATAGGTCGATCCGATCCGATATCACTAAAACATTCGAAAAAGGAGTTTCCTTTTGAAATGAGTTAAAGGAGCATCACTTAGATATATATATATATATATATATATCAGACTGTATAAAAAATTTTCCAAATCCTTTATATAAGGGTTTTTATTCTCTTTCAGAAGCATTAGACGAATGCAGAAAGCATTTAGGAGTTAATTATTTTATAGCCCCTTCATTAAAAAATGTTTCAGACCAGCCATTAGATTTTTCTTCTAATTTTTGTCAACACTGTGAATGTATGACTAGAAATTTTAAAATTTTAAATGAATCAAATCAGATTTTACAACAAGAAAAATTAGCTTTACAAAAGAAGATTTCTGATCTTGAACAAGAAATTATTAAA